TATTAAAAATTAATGATAGTAGAGCCGATGTAAATACGATAGGCTGCGTGTCCTGATGCGAGCCGGTTCGCGTGGGTGGAACCCTCTCATTGCGCCTACCGACGTTGCCCCGTCTTTCCCCCTCGCATCGATGTTTCCATCCTTCACGCTCTCTCTCGCCTCTTGATGGGTTTACGTTTAATTACACCTCTCCAGATTCTCGTTTTATCCCCCTTCACTCGGAGGATCGGCTTACGAGACGCTCGGCCGGTTTGTGATAAGGGAATCTATTTCTCGGTCGTTGCATCGGAGCCCGTAGAGTATAACTTTGAATAAAATCGAAGGCTGAAGTGCGATTCAGACATTGAGGCGGAAAATTACGGGAAATCGTGTCGTACAGGTTGTTCAGCGACGATTCCGCCTGATCTAGAAGGTGTAATTTCTGCGCTGTACCGCAGTATTATATTCGCGATAGGAGATAACGCCGTGAGACGCGCAACCGATCTGGACTTCACACCGCTCGGTATGCTCGTATCGGCGAATTCGATCTCGACGGCTTTGCACTTTCGACGCGGCGAGTTGCACTTTATCTTCATCGACGGAGACCGCGGTGGAATTTGTAGAATGACTCCTCGGTTATAAGGATCTCGTCTACTCTCTATCTCCTCCTATTAACGTTTCCATTCGCGTTCCACTCGCCATTGAACAATGGGTGCTTAGCGCGTTGTACAAATTTTTCGCAGTTCCCTCCATTATTCCTCGCATTTACATCCATTCAAATTGCACTCGAGTTAATGCCGCGCTCCATTTAAGCACAATATACTCTCCGGTTTCCCGCCCGACTGTATTAAAACGTCTAACGTTCCACTTAGAAACAATGAGGCGTTTTTCATACGTTCGAGCGTTCGCGTTCCCGCCGTCTCCGGTGGGCAAAGCGTATTCTTCGAAACGTTGATATCCAATTAAAAGTGTCCGCCCGCTTGTACACGGTTCTCCGGGAAGTCCACCCACGCGTCGACCCAACGACTACCCAAACGAGACGCCGCGTCTCGAGCCGCGATGAGCCACGTCGCGAGGCCGTAACCGTTTCGCAGGGTTTCCTGCCGATTTTTCTCCGCGGGCAGGGACGTCCCTCTAAATCTCGTGCTCCGCGAGTGGCGAGTTAAAAACGAGCCTCTCGTCGCTCGCTATCGCGCGCGCGTTCCTCGGGGATCGTTGCGGCAGTAGGTAAAAAAGTAAGGGCGAGCTGCCGCGGGTAAGGGCGACGAGCGCGGGGGCGGGGTGCAGACGCGGAGGGACGCGTGTGTCGCGGGCATTCCGGTGTCGGGATGGGTTCCGAGAGCGCTCACTCACCGCGACGCTACCATTAATAATCACTTTGATGCATAACGCGGCCTTACTATTATTTACGTCCGACCGTCGGTCGTGCAGCGTCAGGATTTACGACGCATTGTAGCAACGACGGCTCTTGTGCGGCGACCGCCGTGCCGCCGCTCCAACCTTCCCCCTTTTTACCCTTTTTATTCTCGTCCACGACCGAATTGAGTATCCGGTGAGCTTCTCGGAGACAACCAGCCGGGATCTTTTGCGGCTTCGCAATTGATGGTCGGGATCTCGGATTCCTGGAGATTCCGAATGCATTGTGGACAAGTCTGTATTGAATTGATAAGACATCAAGTCAATGTCGGTACGCCTTGGATATTTTATATATTCTTTATATATATATTCTATAGATGCACAGAATGCAGTGTATTCATTAGTTTTCTAATTCTGAAACAATCAAAGTCGCATTACATGTTTGATGCCTTAAACATTTGTCGGTGGTTCTTCCCCTATCTACCGATTCCATCGATAGACCGAGCGTAGCGTTGGAAGTCGTCTAGTTTCCGAAACGGAGCTGCTCATCCGCGTGGCCAAAAATAAAACCGGCCCGGGTCCTCCTTTTAATGCGCGTATAATCGCGGGCCTAATTTTTTGCCGGTCACTTTTCTTCCCTCGGCACGATGAAAAGCGCGTGTCGCGGGCGTCTCGTTCCGATTCTATTTTTATGAAATTCACGCCCGCATGGGGAACGAGATGCTCTCCGTTTAGTAAGCGCATAACTCAGACCGTGACGGCTAATCGTTCCTGAAATTGTCACTTCTGGAGGTCTCACTCTTCCGCGCGCCCTTCCCCACGCCGGAATCCCATTCCGAGATGCATTAGTGACGGCAGCCCGGCTGCAAGCCTGACTTCGTCTAATCTCCTCCCTTGTCGCTAATTAAAACCCGTCAGCGAGTTTGTCAGCCGGCGCTCCTCCCACCGGATCGTTTACGTACCAGTTTAATTCGCGATACCTCGTTCTGCTTGATTTTCGAATTCCCCGACAGGTGTCCGGCGAAGTTTCCACTTCGTTACTGTAGCAAAGTGTCTAATGCGTTCTCACGCGCAATAGATCGAGAAGAGCGTTGTTCCCTTCGCAGAATTTCCAAACCGATCGACCTGTACACGAGTTGCGCCTGAAATTCTTTTCGCTGCTGATCACTTTGCAGAAGAAATTCCCAGGATTATTCTACTGGCTCTCGCAGTCTAGTTTGTAATGAATATCTTTGTGTTTCAGGACGAACATACAACGATTTAAATCAGTATCCCGTGTTCCCGTGGGTGTTGACCAATTATGAGACGAAGGAGCTCGATCTTAGCCTGCCCAGCAACTACCGTGACTTGTCGAAGGTGAGGAATATTTTCCGAACAAACATTGTGACTGGTATTTCGAAGCGGTTGTCATAATTCTCTTATACTCCTGGACAGCCGATTGGAGCGTTGAATCCGAGTAGAAGAGCGTACTTCGAGGAGCGCTTCCAGAGCTGGGAACACGATAGCATACCGCCTTTCCACTATGGCACGCACTATTCCACAGCAGCTTTTGTTCTGAACTGGATGATCCGCGTGGTAAGTTCTCACGGTGTCTTATTCGTAGTCAATCTTCTTATCGCGTACTAAATTTCGTATCTATGAATACGTAGCTTCCGAACGCATATACTAATTTCTATATCATCGACAGCAACTGGCATAAATAAATTAGGATTACAGCCCAAAGCTGGCGACACCTTCCGTCAACTGGATATTTAGTAAACAAGACTTAATTCCGGCGCCGATAATCGGTCCCATCCGAAGCGTCGTTAAACCCCGCGGAACACCCCGACAATCGTCGGTCCTTGGACCGTCTATTTAAGAGACCAGTCCAGTTCGAGCCATAAATTTGAACGACGCATTCGGTAGTGTCTGCACGCTAATTTGGGGGCGTCGGAACGCCCTCGAGTCAACGAAGCCCGCCTTCCCGTTAAATATGTGCATTTGTTTTCAGCTGCATTTCCCAGAGGTCGCCCCGACGGCGAACCCGTTCCAGACGGTTCCACGCAAAAATACGCGGCGCGCCTGCCCCGCCGTCCCTCCCCGTTTCTATTACGATAACGACTGCGTTAATTTTCGCGTTATTACAGCCGCGAAACGGGAGAAGAGAAATGTCCCGCTTTCGCCGGGTTACTTTATCGCGCGGCTCCGCCAATGGCGGTCGCCGGGGCGCGCGCGCAGAAGGGAGGGCACGCTCGACGCCGATTCAATTTCATGTAAATGCCGGACGCGAGCCTCGGTTCGAATGGGCGAGCATTTATCCGGCGCATTTGCATGCAAATCGTCAATAAGGATTTTATTATTCCTTTGGTGGACGACACCCCGCTGTTCCGCACGACGATATACTGCGTCATAAACAATTTATTGCTTTATAACTACGCGGCTCGTTGTCTCTTTCGGCCTATTTTATAAATACCATTAACGATTCCGTCACGGTGCTCACCTCGCGGCCGAAAGAATCGCGCGGCCGCGATTCGGGCTATCCAGTTTGACGCGGAACGACCCGCGCCCCGCGCCCCCGGCGCGCGTCGAACGTTTTATACGCGATCATAAATCAGCCGGTCGAACGCCCACGCGTGAACGCACGTCGATCACGGGAGGTCCTACGTTAACATTCGTCAGGCTGTCAGGGGAGAGCGACGCCGGACGGGGAGGATCTTTAAGCGCGAAACCGTGTAACTGAGTAGCTTTTGATGGGTCTTCGCGCACTTTGTCTTCGAGATTGTCCGTCATTTGCCGAGTAAATGCTCACCTTTCGATTTTACGACCGGTTGTCTAGCCGGTCCCCGGGTACACATCGTTCCCGTGTGTAAACAGTTTGTCGTAATTTTCAGCTGAATGCCTCTCCGAGGCTTCCGGACGTGTGCGAGGAAAGAAACTTGCAGTAATTTGGAAATAATGTAGGATCGTCGAGCGAACGGTCAATAATCTTCGAGATTTACCTCTTTACGGCTGAGCCCGATGCTTCGGCAAACTTGACTCGGGGAAACACGTCAAACCTGATGCTCGGTTGTGGTTAACTTTTAGCTGATTTTTAGATAGAGTGGCTGTAAATATATATAAATATTCCAGGAACCGATGACGACGATGTTCCTAGCCCTCCAAGGCGGCAAGTTCGATCACCCCAATCGCTTATTCTCCTCGATCGCTCTGTCATGGAAGAACTGCCAGCGGGACACTTCCGACGTGAAGGTTCGTTTCGTTTTCTGATCTCTTATTAGTTACACCTCCGCGAGCAACGGATGCCCGCGTCTCCATTGTTACTCGCTGCGAATAAATTCTCGAGCGTCGCGAGATATAAATTATTCGGCTTGTTAACAGGAGCTCATCCCGGAGTTCTTCTTCCTGCCGGAAATGCTGGTGAACAGCAATCGGTACCGGTTGGGTAGGCAGGAAGACGGTAGCGCGGTCGGAGATGTCGAATTACCGCCGTGGGCATCTTCTCCGGAAGAGTTCATAAGGATTAATCGAATGGTACGTAGCGAATCGTTGGGAACCCGAGATAAATTCAATCATCGTACATCTGTGTATAATCTGTTCTACACGTGTGAAACGTTGCGTGTCTGCAGGCTCTCGAATCGGAATTCGTGTCTTGTCAATTACACCAGTGGATCGATTTGATATTTGGTTACAAGCAGAAGGGTAAGTCTTATTCTTTCATACAATTTCTATAGATTAACCCTTTGCGGACGAATGTCGACATTTCAGCGAGATGACATTTCCATATTCGTAATACTAAGTTACACGAATGATTTAATTATTTGAATAGCAAGTGATCAGTGTATAGTTTCTTTTTTTTTCTATTGTTCAAGAATTCTATGTGTAATTTAGCTTCATATGTTGCAAGCTTTGTACTTTAAAGAGTCTCCGTCCGCAAAGAGTTAAATAGTACGAGTTAGGTCAGTTTGAAACATTTAGTTTCTAGCTATACCTTCGATTTATCGAATAAAAGAACATTGATTTGTTTTACTGGTCACGCTAGGACATTCTCTTAAATAGAAGAAGCGAAATAATAGGAGATATGCAAATCGCGAAAGATGAAATGCTGCATTGCTTGCTGGTTTTCGATAAAGAAGGCTGGAAGAGTGAATAAATTGAGACGATAACATCCGGATAATGGCGCGAACGGTAGCGGAGGTTGTGCCGGGTGTTGGGATACGTGGGGTCGAGTCAAATTAGGTCTCCACCGATGGTAATTGTCGGTGGCGCCTCTATATCCGGCGCTTCCCCGAAGATGCTGCCTCGCAGAAAGAGGGTGGCGGCGCTCGCCGCGCGTATGGAAGGAATTAGTTTTTAGTTAGCTTCCTTTCGGTCTTGTCCCAACCAATTAGGCACGTGTGCGGGCCTCGACAATGCGCGCCACCCCTAATACGTAACACGTTTACAGACGGTTGCGAGACAGTGCAGCTTACCGGAAATGCCCGGCCACGAGCAATCGACAGAACCTCCAGAAATCGGTTGGGGCAACGTCACTGAGAAAAATGTAGCCGTCGCTGGCAATTTAGTCTGCGTTCGGTCACGACGTTCAATTTTTCCTGTATTTTCAAGAGAAATATAACGAGCACGTCGACGGAGTTTCTTTTGTGTTTTCGTGGGGAATATTCATGGATTTAGCTCGGGATTGAACATAGTTTCAATGAGAAGTTCGAATACCACGTTTACAGTACTGTGTAATTTTCTTGAGTCCTGTTTTATCGTTCTATGATATTGTTCGAATTCAGGGCCGGAAGCTGTGCGTGCGACAAACGTTTTCTACTACTTGACGTACGAAGGCAGCGTGGACTTGGACACGATAACGGATCCAGTGATGAGGGAAGCCATCGAAACTCAGATACGAAACTTCGGGCAGACACCCTCGCAGCTGCTGATGGAGCCCCATCCCCCAAGAAGTTCAGCGATGCATTTGGTAAACAATGTTCATATACTCGTCAATTCATTCTCCCACGAGTGAAGTTCATTTTGTAACACATGGTAGAACGTTGTTTTTTAAGAAGAGCGTGCACTGTAATGTAGGTATTAGTATTATAATACGAATATAGTATTGTAGGTGTATTCCCGAGGAACTTTTATTAAAGAGACAGCCCCGTTATCAGGTAGAGTTCCAACGATTTGATTATACTTAAGGAGCGAACCTAGCCTAGAGCCTGAACTGACAATCACTAGAAGTAGAGAAGTTAGCCCATAGCCCCGTAGCCTCTCACTATCTATTCGAACCCACGGAGCGTTTCATTTTGAGAAGTGCATGCGGACGGTAAAGCGAACGTCTCGATGGGAAATGGAACGTTCTACGAGATTCATTTTCGTACGAGAAATTCGATCTCTCGGATCCTGGAAATTTAGTACCGTTAGGGTATAATCACCAATTCTCGATCAGCCATCTCACGTCACAACTAATCTAATATACCTACATATACGTGCAATGCACGCTTTTCTTTCTGTTCAATCGTTCCGAACGAGAAGAGTACTGCAAACTTTGACAAGGCGTTGCCACCCGTGTTGCAGTCGCCGATGATGTTCTCCAGCATCCCCGACGACGTGTGCATGACCATCAAGTTCCCGTCGAACTCGCCGATCTGCCACATCTCGGCGAACACGTATCCACAGCTGCCGTTGCCATCCGTCGTCACCGTTACCACTGGACAGCAATTCGCTGTTAACAGATGGAACACTAATTACGCTGGTAAGCAACGAAGACGCCTGTAACTTTCGCATCATCTCGTTTTATTCGGTCAGGGAATAACAAACGAATTCGATCACGCTAACCTCGAAGGTGATCATCTTACTAATGGCAAATAAATTATAGCATCCGTGCAATCACCGAGCTACGCGGACACTCCGCAAGCGCAGGCTGCCAATCAACCGTTGTCTATGGATCCAGTTCTCTGTAAGTGATAGAAATAGCGTATAATAGACAAACGAAATCTGGTAACAAGGAAGAGACAGTATCGCCGGATTTTTCACTGTACTACATTTCCTTTTATTGCAGCGCAAGCGGCGAACAGTTCGAATCCAACGCTACGCAGACACTTAGGCGACAACTTCAGTCAGAAGTTGAAGATCCGCAGCAACTGCTTCGTCACCACGGTGGACAGTCGATTCTTGGTAGCGTGTGGCTTCTGGGACAATAGTTTCCGAGTGTTCTCCACTGAGACTGGTAATGAAAACAAGGCGAAGAAACTCCGAGGTAAAGGATAATGGACAATTTCAAAGTGATTCGTCGTGTTTGCAGCCAAGATCGTGCAGATAGTATTCGGCCACTACGGTGTCGTCACGTGTCTGTCTCGAAGCGAGTGCAACATCACTTCCGATTGTTACATAGCGTCTGGAAGCGCTGATTGCACCGTTCTCTTGTGGCACTGGAACGCCAGAACGCAGACGATCGTCGGAGAGGGTGAAGCGCCAGCGCCGAGAGCGACGTTGACGGGACACGAACAGCCTGTCACGGCTGTCGTCATATCGGCCGAGTTGGGCTTAGTAGTTTCTGGCTCTTACTGTATGTAACAACATATTTTTCTCAGAAATTCATCTTTCCAGCTTGCATCGATGGATCCCAAACGGCGGGACTGGGATTCACCGATCCTCTTTTGCTTGTAGATGGACCAGTTCTCGTGCATACAACTTTCGGCGATCTCTTGAGGTCGCTGGAAGCTCCGAACGGGTTCTCGTCGCCTGAGAACATCGCGATGTCCCGGGAAGGCGTCATCGTGGTGAACTACGAACGCGGGCACATAGCCGCGTTCACTATAAACGGGAAACGCCTTCGTCACGAGTCTCATAACGACAATCTTCAGGTAATATACGTCAGTGTACGCTCAGTTTAGAGTTGTGGATTTTCTGTTCGACGATACTAATGGTTACAATGTTGTTTCAGTGTCTTCTTCTGAGCAGAGACGGCGAGTACTTAATGACAGGAGGCGACAAACGGATCGTGGAAGTTTGGAGGACTTTCAATCTTGCCCTCCTCTATGCATTCCCAGCTTGTGAAAGCAGCGTGCGTTCACTGGCACTGTCTCACGACCAAAAGTGAGTACGATTGAACACTTTCAATAATCATTTTCGATTTCCTGCTGTATATTATTGTTGTGACAAGAGTTGTCCGAGTTTTGAACATTTTATGCCATATTTTTCCTTTAATACGGAATGTCTAAGACGTGGCGAAACGCAAAGCAATTGAATTCACGTTACCATTAGTCGATACAATAAGCCAGTTACTTCGGCTACAACTCGAGAGCCTCTGTTCCAGGTTTCTCCTGGCCGGATTGGCGAACGGGTCGATCGTGATCTTCCACATCGACTTCAACCGGTGGCACCACGAGTTCCAGCAACGTTACTGAGATTGCTTCGCGTACGTCTAGCAGAATCGTACTCCTACGAGCGCGCCTCATCCGTTGTCCGAGCTTCTAGCGCAACAGCAGCAACGGATCGTCTCGAAACCATGGATGCGTCGCGACGGTAACAGCCTTCAAGCCACCTGAGGATCACTACACAACAAAAATGAGAAGAAAACGAAAAAAAAAAGAAAGAAAGAGAGATGAAAACCACGCCACGTCTACGACAGACCCACGACTCTACGAGAAACATTCGCATCGCGCAATCACGCAGACTCAAGGGAGGATGGTATAGAGACACGTTCGTCGATCGCGAATCGGGTCGCCGGTTCCGACACAGTGAACTCTGGGTTCGAGGTGTTTCACAGACAGGAGCAACGAGCAACGACGCTTTCGTAACCGTTTATTACAATCAAGTTGTAGAATGGGCGCAGAACAGTAGCCGGCGTGCAGCAGGTATTTACGATATTCATGCGTTTAGCAATAAACTCGCTTTCGCGACTCTTTAAACAATTCAAGCAGTGCTTCCGTGAGGCGGCGCGAATCAACGGCGACGCGCAAGCGATCAGTGGAACGAATTCCCTTGAACAGGAGGTAACACACGTCAGGCCGAAGACAGTGAGGCTCGCGTCCGTTTAGGATCTTTTCAATTTTCCAAAATGGACGCGAGACGCGGCTCGAATCGACGGACTGCGACTCGGTTCAAGGGATTCAGAGAGAAAGCCGGACGCGTCTCTCAACGCTAGTCAATTACGAAGACTCGGATCAATCTGTATGCTTGCGATATGTTCGACGGCCGGTTCTCTTAGTCGCTCTCTTAGCCGGAGTGTAGCGCGCTGGTCGAACGATAGATTCTCGGGCAGCACGCTTCAGGAAAGAGGGGATCGTGACCGTTCGTTAATCCCGCCTGGAATCACGTGGGTACGGCCCTCGACACCTCTAGCGCTAGTAACGTCCCGTTGTAAATACAAAGGAGGAACGGAAGAGGAAGGGAAACAGACAAACGATAATCTCTGCGACGTATAAATATACATATATAAATATACATATATATATACATACTATATATATATATATATGTATAATTCCGTAACTAGGGTGGCGAGCGAATGAGCGAAAGTTTGGGGAAAGAAACGTGTACCGTTTCGATGGAGGATATGTTTCCAGTTGTACTTCTGCGCCGATGTCGTAATTGCCGCTCGTGATAAACACTTTTTGGCTAAGCACTTAGTGGAATTCAGTTTAACGACAACACGTGTACACCCACGCGGGATTCGTCGTACACGTAGACCGTTCACTGATCCGCGCATACGCGTGCACGGAACGTGTACAACCAGGTCCGCGCGAGACGCACTTCCGCCAAAAGAGGGGCGATCGACGCTTTTTCGCGGAGCCGTCTACGCTGGATCGCCCGGTCTCTCGAGGAACACACCCTCACAATCATCACCGCCCACCAATACCAACCACCAATCCCTGCAAACACTTCCTACAAAATCCCCGACGTTCACGTCCTTCGGAAGAGATCCTAATTTTTATCAAAGCCGTCCAGCTTAACTTTTTGCGAGGATATTTCTTGGTATTTTCGCACGCGAGGTATAATTAATCAGCAAGACAAAACGTTATATAGGCTTAAAGAGATCGAGAAGTCGCATCCCGAATTCATTCCCAGCGATCCTCGATCGTGCGGGTATCGACGTTGTTCGTGTGTGAGCGTGTCGCCCGTTCGCCGATTCGAGTGGGACATGGACTGGTCCGGGCGTTTGTTTCGTGGAAAGATTGCTGGAAGCTGGAATCGCGGAGAGACGATCAACGAGGATTGAACGCGTTTCAGGCCCCCGCGGTCTGAATCGTCGCGGCCGATAGTGTTCGAGGCTTCTAGACGACCATCTCCCTGTGACTTTATACTCATTACATTCTGTAAACAGTACTTAAGCAAATTTACCTGATAGCATCGAAGTACTATGAATCAGTGTACTTAAATAACGTACTTAATATTACAGATATAATAACTCCAAGCTCGGTACTTTGTTTCTCATTGCCGATTTATTTTCTATTTCGTAATATTTCGAGGATCGTTTCCTATGAGCTACAAGGCAGATCGTAATCGAAGAATAATTACTTACTGAAACGCGTTCCGGAAGCCTCGATCAGAATTGATCAAAGAGTGAGCACATGGAAACGCGCAGGATAGAAGGGAGCGAAGGTTGGCTAGCACGGGTTAGAGGCATAGAGTAATTTCGTTCGCGCATGATCTAAGCGACCCTCGTCTACTCGCCGTTCCGCCGTGGAACGAACGGCTTGGTCGCTGTTCCGTGGGAGAGAACGCCGCGAGCGGATTCGCAGCAGCGTATTTGTAAACTTGTCGTGTCGTGTGCGCGCAGCTTCGATTGTTTGCACTTGCGGGCCGATTGCCGGAGCACGTTTCGCTGTCGCGTTTACTTACCGTAGGCAGTAGCGATTTCTTCTGTCCGATGTACGAGTGCCGATTGTTTCCATACACGCGTACACACGCTTAGCGGCCGTAGGTCTCTCGATGTGTTTCCTTTCGTAACGGGGTCGGCGACGTTTCGCAAGTCGGAAGGATCTTCGTGCGGGAGAGAGGAGCAGGACAAGAGGACGAAAGGACATTGGCCGGACGAAGGGAGGCGAGGGCGCGAAGAAGGACAGTGTGAGAGGGACGCTGCGTAAATGAGGATAATTCGGAGCGAGCGTTTACGGTCCAGCCGGTGGTCCGCGCGACCCTCGCGGCGTGAGTCTATGCTCCGTGTACAGTCGCGGATTCCGATTATTCGGTTGGTGTCTGACCATACGCGGGCTGAATCTAGTTGCGTTAATGCCTTTTCCTCGTAACGTTAGAGACCGAAATCAAAGAATTCGTTCAATAGCTTAGGGAGCAGGGAATCTTTACGTACACGTTGCTTAATCGATCAGGTGGAAGGGAGTGTTTCAATATTTTTACGTAGCGTGCTTTACTATTTCATTTTTCTCATATCGTTCACATGGTTCTTCGTCGGAAGGACTCGAAGGTACAAACGGGAGCCACAGTGTCCTCGAGCGTATGGTCAGTGCTGTACTTAAAATCAAAACAGGGAACGAGAGAACGATCGATCCGTCGGCGAAGATGGAACGAATTCGATACAATCGTAACGCGGCTCGCCCAGTCGCGATCCGAGGGGGATGGACATCATCGCGGACGTCTCAGGATGTATCTAGTCAGGACTCACGAGGTCGGAAACGGTCGCGGGCCACCGTCGGTACCAATTTCTTAGATGTCGATACACTTAAATCATATACAGTACTGGAACTACGTGGTAGATATAAAGGATAAGTTGCATGGTGCCGTCATTCTAGCGATCAATCACGTTCTTGAGCTTGCGGGGAACCACGATATGTAAACTTCGTAATTGTTATACTAGGGTATCGCCGGATCCAATCGTGCGCCCGTCTCGCTCGTCGATCGTACGATTTCCGCGCGTGCTGGGACGGGTCGCACGCGTGTTAAGTGAAGAAGACGAAGAAGAAGAAGAAGAAGAAGAAGAAAAAGAAGATGACGACGACGATGAAGAAAACGACAAAAAAAAGATACACGGTAAAAGGGGAGCGAGGAGACGAAAAAAAAATAGAAACGTACCACGGGGCACACGCGATGGTGTATTTAATCGCTGACTCGTTATGGGCGTGCTTATGCATGATCGTTCTGTATTGTTCCGTTCCGCGGAGGTGAGAGGCGCAAAGCAGCGTGCACGAGGAGGCTCGCGGAGAGAGGAGAAGCGCGTGCGAGTGAGTGTGAGCGTGTGCAAGTAAATCGTGCCTGGTGCTTCGGATAATGTTAATTTCCCGCGGGAACGTAAATCGTCGTTAACCCGCGCATACTGTTTACTTGTTGTACTTAATGTACAGTCGCGTAGTATCGACACCTTATTTTCGCTACAACGGGAGAAAAGGGGGTACGGGGAAACGGGACGAGGGAGCTAATTAAACGTCGAGGAGGAGGAGGGGGAGGACGAGAATCGCGCGTCGGACGTTCCGCCGGCGTCGCCCGTCCGCCCTCGCGACTCGCGCCGCGTTTCGTTCCCTCGCGAACTACCTCGAACCGCGGGGAAACGCGAGCCCGCGCAGCCACGTTCGAATTTTCCCGGGTTTTCGAGAGTACTTCGAGCAACGGGACGCGCGCGAGAGCCTCGCGGCGCGCGCTGTTTCGAGGCGAACG